ATATATATATATATATATATTCTATATATATAAATATATATAAATAGTAATATAAAAAAATAGGAAAATAAATAAATATATTGATTAAATTTTATTTTAAGTAGTTTTATTCATTATTGAATGTATCTTTTTTACTTATTTCATGAAAGTATAAAACATAAAAAACATGACAGATAAAACACAAAAGTTGTCACGATGGTACTTTGGTGGACTTTCCTCTGCAGGTGCTGCTTGTGTTACCCATCCTTTAGATTTATTAAAGGTATTTTTATTAAATTTTTAAATTAATATAGTATAAAAATTCCTTTTCTTTTTTTCATATTGTGAGTTTTAAATATTTGTTAAATAAGTAATGATTTTTGTCATTTTTGAAAAATTTTATGAGATAGCATTTTGTTAGCATATACAATAACATTTTATTTATATACACTATATTTATAGGTTCATTTACAAACACAACAAGAAGGTAAAATATCTATAGTACGATTAACAACATCTATAATACAAAAACAAGGAATTTTAGCTTTATACAATGGATTAAGTGCGTCTTTGCTTCGTCAACTTACATATTCTACAATGAGATTTGGAGCATATGAAGTACATTTATTTATATTATATACAATAGTTATTTTTAATAATATTAGTATGCTTATAATTTCATTATATATTTGATTTTATATTTATTACTATTTAACATATTATATTTAATATTTTATTGTAATATAGGTAGGTAAACAAACATTTGAAACATCTGGACAACCATTATTATTTTATCAAAAATTGTTATTAGCTGGATTTTCTGGTGCAGCTGGGGGTATTTTAGGAACACCAGGAGATGTAATTAATGTGCGCATGCAAAATGATATAAAACTTTCACCACAACTAAGACGAAAGTAAATATATAACTTTATATTTTAATTTACTTTTATTTAATAATAAATTTTATTTTAGTTATAAGCACGCTCTAGATGGAGTAATACGTGTAATTCAAGAAGAAGGAATACGTCAATTATTTAGTGGATGCTCCACAGCAACATTACGAGCTACATTAATGACTATTGGACAATTGAGCTTTTATGATCAAATTAAAATTATATTATTAGAAAGTGGTTATTTTAAAGATAATCCAATTACTCATATAATATCAAGCATATTTGCAGTAAGTAAACATTACTATTATTAAAGAAAATTATTTCAAAGTTTAAGTACAGTATTATAATAAAGTAACAAGGAAAGCTATAAAAAAGACAGTATATAAAAACATTATCATTATTATGCGCCACTTTTCTTGTAGCTTTATTTCCAGTTTTTCTCATTGTTTCATTATAAACATTTGCCGTGATTATTTCATCATTTTTCTTCAATCTTCATTGCTTTAATATTTAAATATTTAAAAAAATTATAAAAACAAAAGGATACTACTATATCTAGAAACAACAATATTTTGAATTTTTTTAAATAAATTTTCATATATACAATTTTTGCACAATTTTATTATTTTTAAATTTTATACTAAATTTTTTTTTAAAAATATATCTATCATTCAAATGAACATTTTTTCAAATAATTTATTTTATATTTTTTTAATTACAATATTTTAATTATAATATATATATTTTAAATATTCTTAAATAAGGGTGCTGTAGCTACAACTTTTACACAACCATTTGATGTTTTAAAAACAAGAGCAATGAATGCTAAACCTGGAGAATTTAAGGTAATTATAATTATAAAATTGAATTAATAATAATAATTATAATAATAATTATATATAATAATAATATATATAATAATAATTAATATAATATATAATAATAATTATAATAATATATTATACATATCTATAATATAAATATTTATATTTTTAATATATTTTATATTTTGTAGAATTTAATGGATTTATTTTTGTATACTGCTAAAAATGGACCATTTGCATTTTTTAAAGTAAGTTTTTTTTACTTATTATATTAAGTTTTTTTATGATTTCTATTTTGCAATATTTCAATAATGGAAAGATTATAATTTGGGTAAACACATTTGAAATACATTTAGAATAACTAGAATAAAAATCTTATAATTATATATATAATTTTTTATATAATTTTTTTATAATAAATAGTATATGAATAGTATATAATATATAATATTTTTATATATAGTTCATTGTTGTTTACTGTAATATCAAAAATTAGAATAATTTTGCATGCATTCTTAAAAATTTATATAATATTTTTTAATTTATAATTTTCTTTTTTTTTAAATTATATAGTTTCATATATATGTATATAGATTAGATTGTATTAGATATTCTAGATTGAAATGGGAAAGATTGAAATGATTTTGTTTGTAATAACTATTATTGCAAGAGTAATATTATATATTTATATTTTCTTTTTATCATTTTTTTTTCATTATTCATTAATTGTGAAAGTTATTATGGATAAAATATTTTTTTCTATTTTATATATAATCCACACCGATACTTAAATATATTTACATACACATAATCCAATACTATCATAGATTAAATATTAAAATTGAATAAAAATATATATAATAAATTAATAAAATATATAATAAATTAAATGTTTTAAATAATTTATCAATAGTTAATTTTATTAATTTTTTCTGTTGTTTTATCATAGCAAAGAATTTATTTAAGAAGAGATTAAAGAGATATTATTTAAAAAAAGATTGTATATTTTATATTATAATATATATTTATATTTTTATTATTTTAATTTATTTGTATATATCATATTTGAATGTGTTTATTCAAATAATAATCTTTTCTAATAATGTATTAATGTAAAATAAAATTTTAATCATATGATTTTAAAAATATATTGATTATTTTATTTTAGGGCTATATACCTGCTTTTATCAGATTAGCACCACAAACTATTCTTACTTTTGTTTTTTTAGAACAATTAAGATCTAATTTTGGATTTTATCCTTCTAATGTTCCAGAGTCATAAAATTCATTTAATATAAAAATAGTATTCCTTTGAAATATTTCATAAAAAAAAAATTTAGCACATGAAAGTAAACAAACAAGAAAAAAAATATAAAAATACACATCCTACTTGAAGTTATGCAATTATAATTATTTTGATACTCATATGCAAAATATTGCATGTATAATTTTATTAAATATTTATTTATTACATCTATATGCTAGTAAATAATATATTATATTATTTTGTGTATAATATTTTATTTTTTTAATAATTTTCATAATGATTTATGAAGTATAATAATTGATCTTTTAAAATAATGATAAAAATAGTACTGAAATTTTATAATAAAAAAAAAAAAAAAAAAAAACATTCAGGTAGGACAAATGTTATTTTTGTATGTTGAATTTATTGTTAAATTTATGCACAAATTTTATGAAATATTTTTGGTAAATTTTTTTATGCTATGTAATATAATATTACTTTTTAAAATTATATTAATCATATTTATACAAGCATTGCACAGTACTAATATTTATAATAATATTTTGAATTTACTAATATTACATTAATGATATCATTCTAAAAAATAAATAGCATTTTTTAATTAATTAAATTAAATTAAATATGAGAGAATTGATAATTAGTGAAAGGATTCAATTTTAAAGATAAATTGAAATCATTTTATAACTTAATTGTATATAAATATTTAGAGAAATGATAATAAAAAAAAAAGCAAAAAGATCAAACAATCAAATTGAATCTTTATTAAAAATTTTTATTAAAAAAGATATAATGCATATAAGCATTATAAGAGCAAAATTATAAGAATAATTACATAATAGATAATTAAATATTTATGTACATAAATATTTATAATGTATATATAAATAATTGGAACATTTGCACTTATTTTTACAAAATCTAATTCATTTTTATTTTCAAAAATAAATAATCTTAATCTGCTTATCTAAATATTTACATAATTAGAAATATGTTTAATTATATTACATGTATATAAAAGTATATATATGTATATATATTAATTAATTATTTAGTTATTAAAATAACTATTTCAATAATGTAATTTTACTTTAAGTACAAATTTTATTAATATTAATATATAATACATTCCATAAAAATATTATTATAATTATTATACTGATATACATAGAATTTTATATATATGTATTTTATTATAATATTTATATTCATAGCAATATATTTTGTTCATAAAAATATTATAAAATAATATATTTTTTTAAATTGTATGATATGCATATAAAAATTTATGTATGGACATCAGTTTATCTTATCAATTATCTTATATTATTATACGTATTTTATATATATAAATTTTTACAAAACATTTAGATTCAATGGCAATCATGTATATTAATTTTGATAGGTATAAACTTGTAGTTATACAACATACCTTGTATATAAAACAAACATAACCATATAAATATTCATATAGATCAACATATAAATATTAATTTATTTTAATATAAATATTTGATTTCTGTGAGATATTTCTATCTATTCTATATTTGGAAGTTTGTACCAAGTTTTAAAATAGAAAATATTAAATATGATTATGTATGTGATTATAAAAAAATTACATGGTTTTATTTTTAACTTATTGACTAATTATTAATGTTTTATATTTATCTAAAATATAATTGGAGCAAAATATTCAAATTAGAAATAAAAAAGATATTAAAATTAATTTTGTTTTTTTTTTTTTAAATAAAATGGTTATTTTACTGTGCACAAAAAATCGTAATTTAAAATTATAATAGAAAAAAATTTAAGTACTTCAAAATCAATTGAATATTTCGATGATTTGATTATTTAAATATTTTTTTTCTATTAAATATTTTAATATTTATAGATAATATTTAAAAAGATAAAGTATAAAAATATATTATAAATATAGGAAATTTTTCAATATATAAAATTCATTATTTTAAAAATAAAAACCATAATTACTCTTTTTGTTTTTACAAAATGCGTTTTAGAAAATTATAGAATCATATTTTAATTAAATATCTTAAATTAGCTTTGATATTCTTTAACAAATATAAAATATAAATATTTATATTTATTTATATTAAATATTTATATTTTATCATACATATAATAATTACAAATATTTATAATTATTAAGAAAGATATGCTAACAATCAGGAAGACAAAAATATTTGATATAATAAATTGATATCTCGAAATAATTTTATAGTTAATCGATTTTAATTTTCAATTATATTTTCTTACTAAGGAAAATATGTTATCAGAAATAAAAAAAATATCATTTTATATTTATTTTTATAAGTAAGTAAACAATAAAAATATTATTTATAAAATAATTATATATAAAAATATATAAAAATATATAAAATATATATTATAAATTTTTTTATAATATATAAATAATAAAATAACTTTAAAATTAGTAAAATTTTTTAAAGTAAATAAAAATATAGATATATATATGTTAATTTTCTTTTCTTTTTAAATATTCAAATTACTTTAATAAATATTTTGTATAAAAACTAAATTATGTAAAATTTGTTTACATAATTATTATTATTTTTATTGTTTTTCTTGTAAAATTTTTCTAATAAAATATTTATATATTTATATTATATTTATATGTTTTATGTTTAATAAATACAATTATATGTTATAATTATATATTATATATATTGCTAATACAACTTTTAATTAATGTTCATATAAGATATATATATAAAATTATAATTATAATAATTAAAATATAAATATTATTTAAAAATTTCATAAATTTCATTAATATTAGATGAAATTATGCGCCCCAAAAAAATAGCAAACTTCATCAATTGCAAAAAGTGTTTCTTAAAATAACTTAAAATATTTTTTTTAATAGTGATATTAAAAAAATTAAAAATAAATAAATTCTAAATAAAATATATGTATCAAGTTAATATTTTAATTTATGTTATATATTTTTTTTAAATAATAAGTTTATTATAAGTTTAAACAAATTTTTATTTCCAAAATTATTAATTAAATTATTAATTACAGTAATCATCATTATTATTATTCAGACATTGCTCATATAATTGATATAAATCTATAAAATATAACACTTCTATATAATTAGAATAAATGTTAAAACTTAATTATATATATAAATATATTTATATATTATATATATATTATATATTATATATATAAATATATTTAATATAGAAATATTGAATTAATTTTTATAATATATGAAATAAATAAACAATCTTTAATGTATAAATGCTATAAAAAATAAATTTTGCTATAAAAATTAAATTTCATTTAATGATTTTGATAACAATATTTAAAATTATACGAAATTTAATATATTATATATAAACATAAAACTTTTATGATTATTTTTATTTTCCTAAAAATTTAAAATATATATATTTTATATATTAATTTAATTATGAAATTTTTATATCCAAATAAAAGACCAATAAAGAATATTAAATATGATGAAAGCTACAGGAAATACAATTCTGCTACGTCTATCAATCCACTGAGCAATTTCTTGTGGTGTCATTGTTGTAAAATTATGTAATTGTGCAAGAGTTGCTCTTCGTGGAAAGGGTTTTGGTGATGATGTACTGTTAATACTTGTAATGCTTTCAATAGAGCATTTTTGATCTTTATCTTCATCAATTTTAACAGAAGGAATGTTGAGGGTACTTGGAAAACTCTGTAAAAAAGCATATTTGTTATGAAAAATAATTATAGATTATTTTGTTTACAATTTTATAAATTTTTCTTATGAGATAATATATATATTTACATGTACAGTAAGATAGTTTTGACTTGAATAATCTTGATCATTTGTATTTGTATTATCAAGTGATGACCAAGATCGTGATCGTTCTAGCCCAGTAGTGTTTTTTTGAAATTGTTTTCGAGCCAGTTTTGGCGTTAATGTCGATTTTAATATATATTTACTATTTACTTTTTTCAAAGGAACAGTTTTTCTATATATATATTTAAAAAATTAATATAGAATATATTAATAATTGTAATAACATAATTGAATAGAATAAAAACTAATATTCATAAATAAATAATGCATACTTCCGTCGATAAATTGTATTAACAAAAGCAAATTCAACCATTGCTGCAAATAAAAATATAGTACAACCTAAAAACCATATTTCACTAGCTTTTATATATGAAACTTTTGGTAGAGAATTTTCTACTTTTGATGCAAGAGTCATAAATGTTAAAATAGTATTTGTTCCTAGATATAAAAATTTTAATTAGTTTTTTATTCTATAATATAATTAATTTTTATTGAGTAAGTTATATATTTTTTTAAATTTATCACCTAAAACTATTCGCGGTGGACTTGCATCCATATGCAACCAAAAGGATACCCAAGAAATAACTACTATTAATATAGATGGTATATAATAATCCATCATAAAAAATCCCATCTCACGTGCTAATTTAAATGTTATGCTAATTGAACTGAAATTACCAGCTGTAAATATAAAGCATTATTAATTATATATATATATATATATATATATATAATAAACAAAAAGATAATTAAAATATTTTTGAAATATTATATTAAATTTACTATACATAAAAAAATACATGCCAAAATGACCATAATGTTGTTGTGATGTAGTATAAAATACTTCTGATGCATTAACCCATTTTTCAACAAGCTTATATTCAGTTAAATGTAATTCATCTGCAAGTATAATTGGTTCTTGGTCCCAATACAACACCATATCAAGCACATTGTGTGTCCCTGTAGGTAAAAATTCCATTCATTCCAAGGAGCATAATAGAATAAAATAGCTGATATTGTAGTAGTACAATAACTATGACATCCTACAGCTCTCAAAAACAAGTGGACATTCTTGTACATCAAATGGAAATTTCTCCAAACGAAGCCCACAGTTAAGAGTAGCTTGCAACCTATAATAATTTACATTGTACTTTCATTATATAGATAAGTTAAGTTCTTAGTTTATGTTCTGTTAATTTTTTTTAAATACAATTAAAGAAAATTATAAAAATTCCAATATTTTAAAATATATATAATTTTTTTTAAATCTTAATATTAATTTTATTTAGAATAAAATATTTCAAATTTTTAATGTATGAATGACTAATTTTGCATACAATACATGCATAAAAAAAATGTGCATTTGTAAATATCAATTTAATTATTTGATTTTGGATAACTAAAAAAGAATTTTAAAAAAGGATTATATTAATATGATAATAAAAGAATAGCACAATAATAAATTAAATTGATATAATAATAAAAGAATAGCACAATAATAAATTAAGTATTATATTATTTAAAATTACTTTTTACTATTTTTATATATTATACTTATATTTTATATCATATTTAAATATATTATAAAATTTTAATTATAATATTTTATTGATATTTACTCCAAAAAATATTCAATGATTATTATTATGTTTAATAAAATAATATATTTTTATTATTATAATATATATTTATTATATATATGTATATATAATAAAAATATAATTTAATTAATTAATATAATAAATCTAATGTTTTATTTACAAACCTAGTATTCAATCTAACCATGCCTGATGGATCTATTGAAACAAGTATATCTTTTACATTATTTCCTGTTATTGCTGAACTGGGCTCAGAAACATAAACAGTAGGTGTCCATATTAGATCATATGCAAATTGTCCATTATATATTTGACTTAAATATGGAGCAATATTTGAAAATTTTAACCTGGCATCCAAATATCTAAATTGTAACATCATATGTACATCAAATTGCTGTAAAAATATTTTTACATATATTTATAAAGAATATAATATTATTATTTTAAAATATTTGTAAGAAACGATTAGTGAAATTTATATAACAATTTATCATATATGAATGAATAAATTAAAATTCATATACATATAATAAATAAAAAATATAATTATAATACAAGCTACCAGTGTTTTTGCCATGTTTGATTTAATTGTATAAATATAAGCCTTAGTATACACATTAATTGGATTTGTAGAATTAATTTCTCCTGGTGGTCTAGTCATCTTATCATAACGACAATCATTAGTTAATTCTTGTAAAAGTTCAGTTTGTTCCATAGAACTACTATTGCTTAACATTGGACAATTTCCTAGTCTGTAAGAAATGTATGTAATTTTATATATATATATATATATATATAAACTTTTTCAATTTCGTTCAAAATTTTATTAATATTATTTATCTATCTAATAAGAAAAAAAAAGTATTAATACAATAAGTATTAATACAATAAGAATATTTTTCAAAAAATTTATAAAAATTATAATAATGAAGGAAAATTAATGTATCTTAGAAATATCATTAGTAATATATTTTAATTAATATCATATGTACTGATATTTACTTATATTGAATTATAAAAAAAAGATATAATTGTGTTAAAAGATAAAACTGTTTTGAAAAGAAGTCCTTGAATTAAAATTCCAGACATTACTAAATAGTAAGAATAGTTAATTATGTTGCTTTGTATGAGACCTAGTGACATAATGCAATGCATGTGACTCTATATTATAAGAAGTCTTTTGTTATTGGAAATTCAAATACTTCTTAAAAAACGTAAAAAAAGATATATTTACTATAATTAAATAATTTTCATAAAATTAATATAAAAATAGAACTAGAAAAAAAATATTTTATAAACATCTAATTGTATCTATTTTAATATTTCATAGTTTATAAATATAGATAGAAAATCTATATTTATAAATTTAGAAAATTATTTTAATATTTTTTTATATTGTTAATCATATTTTAAATATTTATTTTGCAATAATTGTATAATTTAACTTTGAATATAAAAATATTTGTTAATTTTTAATTGAAACAATAGAATTTTGGAACTCTAATCAGAACATTAATATCAATTTCGATAACAAGTCTTATCTACAATATGAGCATATTAATTTATAACATCAAACATTTAACTGTTTATATAAGTTATCAATATTTTTCTTCATAAAACTACGTATCACAATTGAAAATAGAATTTTCTTTTCTTTTCTTTTAGTATTATATAATTTTTTTTTTAAAAATCATATTTTTATATATCTATATTCTTATAAAAGAAAATTTTTTCAAAATTGTTATGTTATGAATTGATAAATATTATAAGAATTAAATAATTATAAGCTAAAAGTTAAAAATTATTAAGAATGATAAAATAATATATTATTAAAAGTATAATCTTATAATAATTGAAAAATTGATACAATTATCTTTGAATGCTAATATTTTCATGTTTTAAAATTTAATTATTTACATATAAACATTATTATTACATATAACATATATATTACATATATATTACATATATATATATTACATTTCTATATCAGATATAAATTTAAAAATTTAGTATATATCAGAGTATAAATATAAAATTCTTATTTTATAACATATTTTACTAAATATAATGAAAATATATTTTTTATGATTTCAAATTGTTATAAATCTATGACAATTTTATTTGTTTAAGATAGTAAAAAGTAAGATTAATATTGAAATAAAAAATAAGATTAAAAACAATAATAAATAAATAAATCCTTATTTATGAATTTATGTAACAATAAAAACATGCATACATGATATTTTTAATTGTAAGACATAAAATTTGGAAAAATATTAAATTATATTAATATAATAATAAAATGATTATTAAATCTAATAAAAATTTTTAAAAATTGATTTATTATAATTATATAACTTACATAGTAGATGTATTTAAATGTAACATTTGTAGTAGATAAATAAAAAATATGAAATCAAAAATTATTTTTAAAGCCATCTTTAAGTTTCCTAATGACTTATCTGCTTCACTAATAAACTTGGACTGATTCTTTCTTGCATATACATACTCTTGAGTAAATTTGTTGAAAACTAAAGATTACTCAACCATTCCTCCCACTAACAGTATTTCTTTATAAAGCGAACATTTAGATGTTTATATATGATGTTATATATGATATGATTATAAATTACAATATAAGATATTTTAAAACTGTGAAATAAATATATATGAAATAGTTAAATAAAAATTATAAAAAAAAAAATTTTTTTCATATCATTTTATTAAGTTTTAATTTTTAAAATATAACAAATAAAAATTTTAAAATATAAATTATGATGCATACTTATATATATTAAATTAATGATACTAATTTCTATATACAATATTTATTTTTATGATTTTTTAAAATTTATGTAATTTTATTCATTTATCTTTTAATATATTTAAACATTAATATAAATTACATAATATATATATGTATATATATATATATACATATATAAATTGATATCATATTGATATTTATTATTATTAATATATTTAATATTTGTTTTATATTTTTAATTATATAATAAGTATTATATATTTTACAATGTAAATATCATTATATTTAATTTATTTTTATATTTTTAAGATATTCAGTTCACAATATCTTAAAATTAAAATTAATTATTAATTGATTCAAAATTAAATAAATTTTCATCTTTTAAAAAATTCTATATATATCATTAAAAATTTATATTAAAAAAGTAGAAATATATTAAAAAGTATGTAAAATCTTACAGAACTTTTTACAATTCGTTAGTTACATATTTAGCTCATTTCTACAATTGTAATCCGTGGTTTCATACGATTGAGAGTATAATTGAATAAATGCAAATTTTCTAATAATTTTGTTATTCTTATATAATGACGTTTAGTGTATGGTATCATAGATTCCAATGTGGAAGTTAATTTTGTTTGAAATTCCAAATTTTCTATTTCCATCATTAATGTGTTTATAATTATCTGTTAATAATAAACATTATAATCATAAAAATTTAGAAAAAAAATATTATAAATATGAAATTATAATAAAATTTTTTACTTTAAAAAATAATATAATTTGCTAAGAATTTACCTGAGCAACTTGACAATTTTTACTATTAAAATTCCATGTAACAGCACATTTCAGCAGTTCTTCTTTATAAATTGGTTTTAATTCATGAATTGTTTTTTCAAGATGAAAATTATTTTTTTTTAACATAGCTAAAAAAAATTAAAAATTGTAATAATAATAAAAAGATAATTAATTTTATTCAATTATTAATTTATATAGGATGATTAATATATTTTATATATCGATTTTCTTTTTTGAAAAATGCTTTATATAATGTTATTAAGATAATAATTTTATATGTATAATTAATAATACTGTATATAATATATAAATTAATTAATAACATTTATTCCAATAAAATATCGTATTATTTAATAATTAACTTTAAATACAATAAAAATTTTTATTAATACTTACTTTCTACAATTTTGAGAACTTGAAAAGGACGTTCTAATTTTAAAGCTAATTTTAATGCAGAAGTTAACTCATTTGCTTTAAATAAATTTGATAATTTTTGTTCTTCCAATGCAATTTGTTCTAATTCTTTTGCAGCTTTTATCTTCTTTTCCTCAGTTACATCTTTCCAAATTACTAACAATGAATCACTTCCACCGCTAATAATAGTTTTTTCATTTTTACTAACTATAATTAAAATATAAAATTATAATACATATAATACAATATGTAAATAATGTTACAATAATATTTACCTGCAAGTGACCATATACGGCTTTCATGCTGTTCTAAAATACATATACATTCTGATGTTTTAATATTCCAAAGTTTCAAAAGACCATCTCCACTTGCTGTAATTATTTGCATTCCACGTGATAAAAATTCTGCTTTTAATACTGATGATTCATGACCTTCAAATGTCTAGCATATAAATAAAATTATTAAACATATTAATAATAATTATAATGAATAGAATGGAATTATATTATATTATAATTTAGCGAATAAAATTACTTTTAAACAGTGAAGTTCTGTTAATGACCAAAGTTTTATTGTGCAATCTGCTGATGTTGTTAGAAGTACTTGATCTATGGGTGAAAATCGTACACACCAAACTCCTCTACGATGTCCACGAAATACACCAAGTAATTGTAAATCAGCAGACCATAACTATAACACAGTATAAATATATTTAAGAATAAATTATATAAAAAGAATATTATGTATTATATAAATTGATTTAATAAAAATACTATGTTAAATGGTACATCTAATAATTTTTATATAATAATTTTTATATAAAAGTTATATGATTTGCTTATTAATCATAATACTTATTCCATAAATTATTTATTTTACTTTAATTCTTATTATTCCTAAGAAAAAATTAAATACTTAAGGATATCAATAATCGATATTTACAGATAATAAGAATCAATAATCTATTAAGTATAATTGTATTATTTGAGAAAAAATGAATAATGAATGAATTATAAAGTGAAGAATGTCATATATATATATTTTATTGTCATATATATATTATTTTAAAAATAATGCATCATACCTTAGCTGTTTTATCTTGAGATCCAGTAGCAATTAATTTATCATTTGGTGAAATAGTTACACTGTTAATATCTTTTTGATGAGCCAATGTTGTATGAATAACATTTAAAGAACATATACCTATGATTATTGAACATATATATCAAGTATTAAAAATAATAATTCATAACAAATAAACATTATGTTTACCTTTAAATTCAATATCATTTTGTAAATTCCATAATTTAAGACATAAGTCTTGACTAACAGAAACAAAAAACTTGAAAGATGTTTGAGAAATTGCAATACAACCAATAGGAGCAGTATGTCTAGTAGCAGATGCAATGCAAGATACTTTATTTGTTTGTTTATCCATAAGCCATACACGAATACTATTATCCTATAAATTAGCAATTTATATATTATTCAATTTATAATTATTGTATATTATTTCAATTCATAATCAATATTTATTGTATTTCTATATTTATCTTATCTTATAATAAAAAAAAGTATAATTTTTTTTTCATTCTAGAAATATTACTTTCTTTGTAATTATTAAAATTTTATAATTTTAATAATTTATTATTTTTTTTTATTGATTAAAAAATAATTGTATTATGATATATAACATATATAATAATATTATTTTTCAAATAAACTCTTTACATACCTTTGCTGCAGATATAAGTAAATAGACATTAGCATGTGTTGTAGCAAGAGATAGCACAATATCTATATGACCACGTAACAATTCACAATTCATAGTTAAAGTATTGTATAATTTTATGTCACAACTATTAGTAGCAATTGCTATATGGCTCTCATTATCTCCAAGAAATACAATATCCAAAATTTCATCACTGTAACCTATTAACTATAAAAAATAATTATTATATATTTATCTATTAAATTATAAATTTTATTTTTATTTTAAAAATCGAATTTACCTGTTTTATACACTCAAATGTTTCTAATGAATAAATAATTATATTATGATCAACTGTAACTACAGCAAAGTTGTTACTGATATCATTATAAAGTAAATGTGTAATTGAGAGAGTTTCTGTTTCTTTTGCAGCTGATATAATTGAATTTTTTTGTGCATATACTTCTTTACCAGTTTTCATTTCCCAAATTTTTACAATTCCTTAAAAACAATTTAAATTACAGAATAAATAAAAAATTTTTAAATAGTTATATATAAAAACATATTATATTAAATTTTAAACAATCATTACAATAAAACATAAAAAACAAAACAACATTCATTTATTTAAATATAAGGAACAAAACAAAGTTGAAATAAAAATAAAAGAGATTCAATAATTATCTTTGATAGTAATTTGAACTAATATAGATTATAAACTATAGATCATATTTAGATTATAATTTAAAATAAAAAAGACTATATTCATATAAAAATACATATTTATAGTAGAATATTTCTTGACTATAAGATAATAAAAGATTATGAATTAATATATTTGAAACTAACTATTAATTTGATCTTAACTTGATATAAATATTAATGTTAGTTTATTGTAAATATATAAGTATCTTTTATAATATATAATAAAAAAATTTATAATTAAACCTTTTTCTCCTGCAGTAGCAATATGAATAGCATTTTCATCTTTGTTATAAAAAGATTCAGATAGTGATAAATTTTTAGGTATAATAAATGTATCTTCTATTTCTTCATAAACTGGTATAACTCGTATTGATGATTCAGAAGTTAGATCCCACAAAATAAGTACTTTATCTCTTCCTGAACTATATAAAAAAATATTATAAATTATTCACATTAGAAATTTTTAAATCTATAGTATATTACCTAATTAAATAATCCTGGTTCTTAATAAAAGATAAAGATGTAACTTTACTAAAATGTCCAGAAAGCATAATTTCTTTTTCACCAGTTTTAATATTCCATCCATGAATTTTAATATCATCTCCAGCAGCAAAGATAAGTTCTTTATCAATATTTGGATGAAAAACTAAAACGCTATAATTATATTTTAATTTATGAATTTCATATATATATATTTCATATATATTTGAATATATGATTAAAAGATTTTTATATTTATTATATTATTATATTTATAAATAGAATAAAAGTTATATTTTTTTAAAATAAATACCTTATAACTCCTTGAACTCCTTTCAAATTATGAGTACAAGTATGATATTGTAAATCCCATAATCTGACAATACCATCACTACCTCCAGAAGCCATCAAATTTCTTTCCATGGAATGAGCAATATGAACTACAGGACCTTTGTGAATAGACTTCCATAATTTAATTAATTTATTATCTGTAATAATAATATTTATTACATTGAATAATAATTGCTTATAATTAAATTAAATAATATTACCTTTCCAATTCCATAACTTGAAAAGACCACTTTTATGATGTGTGATAATGTTTAAGTTATTATTACTTGCAATAAATGTATTAATTGTATCTTCTTCATTATTATTATTTTCTCCTAAGTAAGATATTACTATACCTTTCTTTACTGATAATATAGAAATTGTACCATATTTTTGACAAAATATATATTGTCCATCTGTACTCCACTATAAGAAAAATTAATTTAATTATCTAATAAAATAAAAAAAAAAATGAATAATATATATAATTTAATCAATATACTTGAACTTTTCCTCCTGTATAAAAAGCACCATGTTTGGATTCAACTTCGAAACTGAAATTAAATATGATTAATAAAATATATATAATATGAAGAATCAAATTTTAAAATTAAAATATAATCCATTACATAATCTAGGTATATGCTATTTATTTTATTTTATTTTATTTTATTTTATTTTATTTTATTTTATTCTTTTTTGATATAAAATTTCAAGTATGATACAGAATTTTATTAATTACAGGATATTAAAGAAAAAAAAATTAATTAAATTAATTACTTACGCCTCTTTCAAAACAACACTATTCATGTTTTGTGAATTATCATAAAAATTTTATGTTTTATAAATAATTTTAATAATTAGCATTTATTTATATATTATATTTATGTTAATCGATTATAAATAGAAATATATACTAGAAATAAAACGAAAATTAATTAAAAAACAATTATGAACAAATATAATACTTTTCTTCATGGATTATTTAATTTATTTTATGTTATATTATTATATTTTATATTATTTTTGTTTAATGTTATTTTATGAATCTTTGCGACCTTGTGGCCTTATGACTTTATGAATCAATTTATCCATCATAGCATGAAATTCGCGGTAAATACAAATTATACAGCAATTGAAATATAAAAAAGAAGCAAAAAAATTTCGAAAATAAAGTATTGATTATTTAAAAAATTATATTGAAAAAAAACTATATCATTTATCGCTTATTAATTTATTTTTTATTTTAAATTTATTGCTATGAGATTATACTATTGAGGCAAAATTTTTTTCAATAATGATTTGAATATGTTTATATATATAAAGGTTAGATTACAATACAATATTTAGTTCATATTACGTTAATTAAAAACATGTTTAGTTTTATATAATATATATTAGTTTAATAATTATAAATTAAAATGTTATACATTATATATATATATGTATGTATATATATATGTGTGTGTGTGTGTGTGTGTGTAGATAAATTTTATTACATTTACTTTAAAATATATATTAAAATTTTACAAAATTAGTATTATTCTTTTTAAATTATAATACGTAATGATTAATTTAAGTAATTACATTCATATATCTGAAAATTCTTTTTATTAAGATTATACAAATATAAGTTTAATCGATAAGTATTTAAAAATATTGAAATTAAAATAATAATTAAAATAAAATAGTAATAAATATTTTATATTATAATATATTATATATTATAATAATATTAAGTAAATTAAATATATATATATACAAATTATTGACGAAAAGTTTTAAACAAATAAAATTGTTATATGTATTATATGTATTATATGTAAGTAGCATGAATGAACTTTTATTTTAAGTATCATGGCGTCGCCGATCTTTCCGGCAAGTAGATTTTGCCATCGTGTCCATGGATTCTCTCTCACGTTTTAACGTGTAACCTGTATTAAAAATACAGAATGACGGACGACGTGGTAGTCCTAGAAGATGCTGTTCAAAGAGAAGAAGAAATAGCTCATTTTCAAGCTCCTGCAATACAACATAATCCCGATGGATGGGGTCCTTGTGAATTACCTGATCAATTTAAAGATATACCTTATCAACCATTTTCAAAAGGAGATAGATTGGGAAAGGTTGGTAACAAATGTAATTTCTGTATTTTTTATTTATGAATATATTTTATATTTTCATTATTTTCTGAAATAGATATCTGATTGGACTACACCAGCTTTTCAAGATAAAAAATTTCCCAGTAAGTATTCCCATTTTTTAAATTTAATTTATATAAACTTTAATTGTTATTTATTTATTTTTATACTTATAAAGAGATTATTATTAACTGTTTAATTAATATTAATTATATTTTCAATACTTATTAAATTATTATAATATAAATATTTAAAAATATAAATATGTATTAAGAAAAAAACTTAAAAAAATAAAATTGAAAATTTTTGAAAATTTAATCTATTATTTTGTATATTTTTTAAATTTAATTTTTAATACAAAAAGAAAAAATTTTATAATTATTTTAGTAATAAATGTTAATAAGATTTTAAAATAATTATTACAAAATAATATAATTTAAAATCATTAGATTTTGAATTATATTGTTAAAAAAAATTTGTATATAATTTTTTATTAGAGTAATAATTAATAAAATGCAAATAATATAAATAAATTGTTATTTCTATCTTAAAATTCAATTTTTTTTTATAATTTACACACAATTAAAATTATTTAAAAAAAAATAGAATTTTTTCCTTTAATGTAAGTGCTATTAAATAATTTATATAATAATAATTCATAATATAAATATATTCTATAATTGTATAATTACAATTTAAAATAGCAAAAGATCACTGTTTTGCAAGATAAAAAATTTTATTCATTAACTTAAAAAAATTTTTAAGAAAAAAAATTTTTAATTGTTTACAGACAAATATACATCACAGTTTGGTTCAGGGAGTCAATATGCATATTATCATGATGAAGATGAAACAACTTTTCATTTAGTTGATACAACTCGTGTACAAAAACCACCTTATCAACGTGGTGGTCGCTTCCGCCATAATCAAAGAAATTTACGTGGTCGAGGAAGTCAACGTGGTTCATTGAGTCAAATGCAACAACTTGGTAAATTAAAACTTCGTGAAAGAGATCGCAAAGGACAAGCAAAACGTTGGGGCAGACAACAAGGATTACGTAATCATAAAAATCAACCCCCAATTAAAATTCGCGATGCATCTGTTACTGTAAGACCTGATTGGGTAACTATTGAAGAAATGGATTTTCCACGTTTAGCTAAATTGTCTTTACCTGGTGTAAAAGATGGAGAAGATATTTTATGTTGTGGCTCCCTTGAATATTATGATAAAACTTATGATAGAGTGAATGTTAAAAGTGAAAAGCCACTACAAAGAATTGACAGAATCTTTCATACAGTTACTACTACTGACGATCCAATAATTCGTAAACTTTCAAAAACAGAAGGAAATGTTTATGCTACAGATGCAATTTTAGCAACAATAATGTGTTGTACTCGTAGCAATTATTCATGGGATATTGTAATTGAAAAAATTGGAGATAAATTATTTTTTGATAAACGAGATAATACTGAATTTGATCTCTTAACTGTAAATGAAACCAGTGTTGAGCCTCCTCAAGATGATGGAAATTCTTTAAATTCTCCCAGAAATTTAGCTTTAGAAGCTACATTTATTAATCATAATTTTTCTCAACAAGTACTAAAATCAAATGAACCTAGATATAAATTTGAAGAAGGAAATCCATTTATTTCAGAAGAAGAAGAAGGTGATGTTGCCAGTGTTGCATATCGGTATAGAAAATGGGATTTAAATAACGGAATTGTTCTTGTCGCAAGATGTGAACATGATGCTGTAATGCAAGGTCCTAATAATGAAATTCAATTTTTAACAATTAAAGCTCTAAATGAATGGGATTCAAAATTAGCTAATGGAGTTGAATGGAGACAGAAATTAGACACACAGCGTGGTGCAGTATTAGCAAATGAATTGCGCAATAATGCTTGCAAGTTAGCTAAATGGACTGTTCAAGCATTGCTAGCTGGTTCAGATCAATTGAAATTCGGTTATGTCTCTAGAGCAATGGTTAGAGATTCTAGTAAACATGTTATTCTTGGTACACAGCAATATAAGCCAAATGAATTTGCAACACAAATCAATCTTAATATGGATAATGCATGGGGTATTTTACGATGCATTATTGATATTTGCATGAAACAAAAAGATGGAAAATATTTAATTATGAAAGATCCAAATAAACCAATGATAAGATTATACGATATTCCAGATAACACATTTGAAAGTGAAGGAGAAGAAGATGAAGATGACGATGAACCTGTTAATGACGCTTTTCAAAGTTAACAGTTTTAAATTTTCTTGAACTTCTTTGAACTATCTTAAAATCATTGATTTATCATAAACATGTATTTTAAGAAAAAAAGAAAGTGGCATAATAAATAAATCTTAAATCTATTCTTTTTTATCATTCAATTCTAAAAAGCTCTATAAAGTTAATAATTTTAATTTATATTGATATAAATAAATAACTATATTAGTATTAAATAACTGTTTTATAAAAAATAAAAAAACTCAAAAAAACTTTAACTTATATAAATTTTGTTTTTTTTTAATTATTTTTTTTTTATTATTAATCATCCGAAAATTTTTCTTTTTTCACATTTCTTTTTGTTAAATAATAGAATTTTGATAATTATTAATTTTTTTCATAAATAATTTTTTTATTTTAATAATTCTATTAAGTGAACTTTTTATTTTTTACCTAATTTACAAATATTTATTATTATTTATTTACTTTCACTTGTTGAATTTTAATTAGAAATTATACATATTTATAAAAAAAATATATATTTATAAAAATATATATTTTTTTATATTATTTTAAGAAGATTTTAATTTTAAAAAAATTAAATTTAATGCTTAATTTAGGAAATTTATACAATATTTTCATCTCTTTGATGATGAACATAAAAAAAATTAATATATATAATAATAACATATCTTTGCTAATAAATAAAAACTTAATAAAAAATTAAGAATTCATATTCGTTACTATATATATTATACAATACTATAAAGTGTTAAGAGATCAATATGGCTTCTTCCATGGTTGCTGCAGCGACAGTTCGTGCTATCAAAGGTAGAAAAATATTAGCCACGCGCGCTGCGCTTACTTTAGTAAGTAAATAATTAATGTATATATATACATTTTTAATAGTTTTGAATTATTGATACATAATATTAGCTAATATTATTATGAATTTACATGCATTATAAGTATTGAAAAATTGAGGTTAAGTTTTTAATTCACGTTGAAATTTGACGTTCAATTTTTATTTTTAAAAGTAATTTTAATATATATAGTATTTCTTTAATCTTAATAGAAACTTACATATTATATACTTACATTTTATATCTTTTTGTGTATTTAATCAATTTTTTTTGAGAGTAAATATGATTATATATTATTAAATAATATATTTTAAAATATCTCAAATTATTCTTTAATTATTAAATAATGTAACAATATAAGTTTTTTTTTTATATTAAAGTTTTTTTTTAAATATACAGTATATGATACAAATATAATTATTAATAGCTATTTATAAATCTTAATTTTAATCATCATTATATACTAAATATAAAATTATAGAAAACTTTAAGCAATATTTTTATTAATATAATTAATAATTTTATAAATATGTATAAAATTAATTATATATAGAAAATTCTATTAATACAAGATTGTTGTTTTTTATTATTATAAATAAAAATATTTTAAAATTTATATTCTTATAAGAAATATTTTTTATATTATATTATTTTTATTTATTTATATTTGTAATTTGAATTTTATAATTACAGACACCAAGTGCAGTAAAAAAAATCAAGGAATTATTGAAAGATAAAAGTGAATTTGTAAGTAAATATATTTTAATTATCAATTATGAAATATTATTTGTTTTGCTATAAAATGATTTAAACATTGCATTTATTAACAAAAAAATATTAGTTAATATGTATGCCATATCAATGTGTTTTTTCCCAATACCTTGATTTTTGGCTCTCTTTCTCTTGGTATGATTATTAAAAAATTAAATATGCAATTGATTATAAAATCACATAATCATTTTCTATTTCAGATTGGTCTAAGAGTAAGTGTGAAACAACGAGGATGTAATGGTCTTAGTTATACTCTTGATTATGCCAAAGAAAAGTCTAAACTTGATGAAGAAGTTATTCAAGATGGTGTTTGTATTATGATCGACAAAAAGGCACAATTATCTTTATTAGGTACTGAAATGGATTATATAGAAACTAAATTAAGTTCTGAATTTATTTTTAATAATCCAAATATCAAAGGTACATGTGGATGTGGAGAAAGTTTCTCCGTTTAGTTACTTTATAAAATTGTAGTTAACATAGATCATTCAATTGATAAATTTTAGTAAAATGTAAGTTTACAAACATATAACTTTACTAAATGACACCTTTTTAATTTTTTCTATAAATATCCACCAATTTGGATATTTAATCTTAAAATTTATAATAATTATAATATTAAAGATGTCATGTAAAGATAATAGAAAAATCACTATTGTTTACTAAAAATTTCTTTTGTTATAAAGAAGGAAAAATTGATAGTATGACAGATGTAACATTATACAATATTACATTCATACATACACGTACACAAAATATGTTACAAGATATGAAGGAATGTGTAACAATTATCATAAGTAAATTTAAATTTGAATTGGTAAAAATTTGGAAAAAAAATCATTTATATATTCTTATAAAATATTTTTATATAAATAATAAATTTATTAACAGATTCAATCTAAATTTAAAATGTAAGTATGATATATAATTAATTATGTAATATTGTATATTTATTTTGTAATTAAGTGTTACATATAGAATAATTATATATAGATGTATAATAGTTAGCAAAATATTTTGATTGTTACAATAAGTTTGTTAAAAATTTATTTATCATTATTATGTACATACATTCATATTTTGACAATTACTATAATTATATGCTATATGTATTTATTAATGATATATATATATAAAAGTAAATATATATATGTAATTGTGTATGTTGGCTATGATATTTTGTGTCATATGTAATTACTATTTTCTTAAGACTAAATAAACGTGATATATTTTCGTAACATCTTTTTTTCGAAAATTGTATGGAAAATTTTATGAATATTTTTTAAAAAATAAATTTTTTTAAAAGTAAATTTCATCCATACCAAAAAGCAACTTACTCTTACAACTTACTCTTTGTAGATAACAGCTTTTCGTCCATTCATAATAATCGTGAAATATACCAATTTTTTGAATAAAATGCGTGAAATTGTTCATGAATATTTATTATATATTTTAAACGTAACTTCAAATTATATATAAAATCAAACGTATATTTTCGACGCGTTTAAATGATATAGTAATTGAAATGAAATTACAAAAATTTATTAATATTAAGCGATAATGTTCATATATTATATATATTCATATATAATGCACTTAAATTTCCACTACGGGGAGCCACATAACAGTTGATAAATACTGAGAATAATAATAAATACTGATAGTGAAGTGAAAAAATAGATAATATCCAGTTAATTTTTAAAAAGTGACTATAAAAAAAATAATAAAAAAATTTCTAGAATAACATAGTACATAATAATTGAAAATGAATACTTCATGGGAAAATACTCGTCATGCTTTAAGAAGTTTTGCAAACGTGTTAAAATGTTACAAATGGTAAGAATTTTAAAATAATTAGGATAAATATTATATAATAAAAAAAATTAATATAAAAAATAAATTAAAATAATTAATTAAAAAAATATATATTACATATTATTCTTTAAACTTCATATGTTATTTATATATAATTTAATAATATTATTTATATATAATATACCATTGAGTTTTATTTATTTATCAATTTAAATCTTTTCATAATTTATAAAATATAAAATTCTTTCATTTAATTTTTATAACAATTTTTTTTTTTTAATAAATATAGTTTTTTCTTTTGAATTTTAGCGGAAATGAGCCAATAAACGCAACAAGATATACTAATTGTTGTCATTTTTTTTGTAAACAATGCATTGAAAATGATTTAAAATGTATAATATGTAACATACCTGTACGACCACTCGAAATATGTAATGATCATTTAATTAAAAGTCTTGTTTCTTATTGTAATAACATTGCAGAAATAATACAGGAAAGGTATTATAAATTTAAATCATAAATTTATATATTCATTATATTCATTTTTTATAATATATTTAAATTATTTGAAATATATAATTAAATGTATAATATGATATAAAAATTTTTTGATATTGAGATATATTGTTAACAATATTATTCAAAAATTTTATGTGAATTTTATAAAATTTTAATATAATATATTTTATATTTTATTAATATATAATTAATATAAATTTAATAGAGATTTATGGAATTCAACCACAAATTCAAATGCAATAGAATTGCCTGCAATAACAAACAATTCTATTTGTACAATAAATAATACAAAATATATTATACCAAAGAATATAAATAAACCAAATGCTAAAGGAGAAACATATTTACATATTGCATGTGTGAAGGTTAATTTTTATTGTTTATAATAAATATGAAATAATTACAAAATATAATTAAACTTTAAACATCAAACAAAATTTAATAATTTTATCATATACTTGCAGAATCAAGAGTGCCGTATAAAAAATTTATTAGCTGCTGGTGCTAATCCAAATACAAAAGATTTCACTGGTTGGACACCTTTAGTAATTATATTGTCCTAATAATTTTTTTAATTGTTTTTATGCTATTTATATATTATAAATTTTTTTTTATAGCAAGAAGTTGTAAGTTTTGGATATACAAATATATGTCAGCTATTATTAGAATGTGGAGCATTACCAAATACACCTGGTATATTAAATAGAAGAGCTTTACATGATGCTGCTATAAATAATAGATTGGCAGAAGCAAAAATATTATTAAAATATTCAGCTAATAAAAATGTATATGATGATTATGGTAAAAAACCCATGTATGTGTCAATTAATTATTTTATAATAAATAACTTATTAATATATTAAATATGTATTCTTAATAATAAAATTATTATAATATAATAAAATTTATATAGAATTGTTGATATAATTATTTTATATATATAATATATATGTGATATTATATATATAAATATTATGTTATTATTTTATATCATTACTTTATATTATATTGTATTTTAGAGACTATTGCGAACCAAATAGTAAGATGTGGGATATTTTAAAAGATGAAAATGAGTTCGATGATACAAGTAAGAAAGAAAAAGAAATTGTAAATCATAACTGTAGTTTTAATAAGTCATTTTCTGCACAACAAATATTTGATACGATTGTTATATATCCATTAAATTTACGAGAAGAAAATAAAAAATATTTGAATGAAATAGCTTTAAAGCATAAAATTAAAATTATGTCTGTTTTTCGGTATTATTTTTTTCTTTTAATTTATATAATATTATATCATTAAATTATATTTTTAAATTCAAGAGATTATAAATATTGCATGATATATTTTTGATGTTATAGACCATCTGTAACTCATGTTATAGTGGAAGCTAATGATAAAAATATCATTCAATTATCATATGATGTAATGATAGCACTTTTGCGTGGAATTTGGTTACTTAATAGTGAATGTATGTTTATAATATAAATATAAATAAAATAATATAAGTAATTTACATATAGTTTTAAAAATTAATTTTTATAATATTTTTTTTAAAGGGATTCAGCTAAGCATGGATATAAGTGATATATTAAAAGGAGATTTAGAACTATTTGAAGTCAGTGGTGCACCGATTAAAGGTATTCCAAAAAAAGCTAGAGAAAGTGCACAAAATTGGGTAAAATTAATTATATATATAACTCAATTATTTGTAATATAAATAAACATTATTAACAAATATATATCTTCTTATTATGTTTTTAGAATCCAGGTCTTTTTAATCAATGTTATTTTTATTTTGCGTTTCAATCAAAAGATACTTATATAAATGATATATATTTAACAAAAGATGCATTAATTACACTTGTGCAAGAAGGTGGAGGAATAATTTTGAAAAGAGAACCAAATCCAGAAGATATAAAGACCAAAGAACAATTTGTTCCTTTTCATATTGCTAATGAACCTAGTCATTCTTTACATGAATGTACACATTATATCATTTATATACCAGAGAAAGATGAACCACGTATAAAATATAATATGCCACATATAAAAACATTACCACTTATATGGCTAATTGAATGTATAGAAAAATTTACATTAGTTGATCCATTACAATTGGGTTTACTTAAACTTTAATTAATATCTAATTATACATATATTTTATTCATATAATTTTTACATGTAATTTAATAATATTAATAAATATAATAACAATTTATTTAATTTATATTATTTATATAATTATATATATATATATATATATAAAATTAAACGTATATATTTAAACATATTTAAAATTTTTTATTAAAAAATATATAATTTTTGTTTTTATAATTTAATAATGACAATTAAAATATTTAAATTAATAGTTAAATTTCAAAAATTTTATTTATTATAAAATATATTTCTTGTTTAAATTAAAAAAAGCAATATTTATATTAATGCAATATTATGATTATGAAGGATTGATCGTTGCATAAAGAATGATAAATTCCAAAGGGAAATATCGTACGGTATCACGTATATTTACGGATAAAGTACCGCTAGTCGTGCACATATACATATACATGTGGTAAGAAAGAGGGAACGAAAGAAAGTTAGAAGGGAGTGAATGAGAAAGAAAAAGAGAGAGAATAAACGTAAAAGATAGGGAAAAAAAGAGATTCAAATATATATAGTATAATGTAATATATATAAAATCAAATAAGATATGAAAGAAAAGTCTAATATAGAAATAAAAAATGAATAAAATAAATAAAAAAATCAGTAAATTGAGAAAATTTGTAAGATTAAAATAACAAAGTATTACTTACACTTTGAATATAATGAAACAAAAATGGATATAAATGGTTATTTTAGAAATAATATATATAATAATATTATAGTGTGTCTTTTGTTAAGATATTATATCAATCTTAATAATAAAATTTGCAATTGAATATTTGATTATTAATCATTTATAAATTGAATATTTCAGTTGAAAGTTATTATTTATTAAATTATCACAAAAATGTTGTAATATAAATAATATTTAATATACATAATAACAATTTAATAACAAATAAATAAAAAAACAAATAAATAAATAAATAAAATTTTATTGTTAATTTTAAAACCAATGTTATATATGATATAATATATGACTTTAAAGAGATTTGAACTCGTAATCAATTTTATAATTATTATTATCTAAATGATTAGAAATATTATTAGTCATTAATTAGTTATTATTAAATAAATTGTGAAATTGTTTAATTTTTGTTAAAATGAATTAATTTATATTAATTTTCTTTTAGTTATTATATTGTTTTTTTTTATTAAAAATTTTATCATTAATTTATAATCATAATTAATCAAAATTAAAGTTTTTAACAATGATGAAAAGATGAATTTTCAAAAGTATCTGATATTAATGCAACAACCCTTCCCTCTTTTTTTAAGTAATTCTTAGTGAGGTCGTTGACGAATGTTCTCTTTACTTCCCTGCCTTCGTTCTTTTCTCTCTTTTTTCTGACTGGTGTAAAAGAGGGGACCCGCACCCTGACCCACAAGTGGGCCCGATACCTTCTCAGTCAGTCAGTCAGTCAGTCAAACAAGTCTAACAGGCAATGCGAGCCCGCATAATACCGTGGCTGCCGAACTCGCGGTAAAGTAGTTTGACACGCACGTGTTCGAACCGGGTAACGACACAGTGTGTCTTTCTTTAACTGTTTTTGCGGTTACCTTCTTAAATTGAAGAAAAAGAAGCGAAAAAGAAAGAGAAAGAGAGAGAAAAGAAAGAAAGACAGAGAGAAAATGAAGGAAGCGAAGATGATACTGAGAACATTCCCTGGGGGCATCGCCCTTTTCCTCCTACTTAGCGGATTGATCTCTGCTCAAGACGACGATTCTTTAGCTGGTAGTTTCTTATCAGGTAAACAAATCAGATTATTTATTTTTATTCTTAGGATATTATTCCTCCTTAATTATTGCTGTATATTCAAATATTTTTCAAATACTTTGTTTTTTTTCCCATTTACATATATTTTTCATTTTATTTCTTTGCGTTTTCTTAATTTTTAATTCTTAATTTTTTATTTTAAACTTATATATTTAAATCATATTTTAAATAAAAAATCATTTAATATAATAATAATAATTTAAATGTAATTTAATATGAAAGAAATCTGAAATATTATTTATATTTAATTATATAGATAATTGGTAACATTATTAATATTGATAAAACGATAATAAACTTTTAATATTATAATTAGCATTTTATTATAATTAGTAATTATATTTAATCTATCTTTCTTTTTTAAATCTTTTTTAATCTATTTACTTTTTTAATTGATAGATATAACAATTTATGGATAATATCTCAAGAGAAGGAACGAGAAAATCAATTTTATAAGTAGTGAATAAAAATATAAAGTTTCAAAAAAATTTTAAAAATTGATTGAAATACAATTAAAATTAAAAATTCAAATATTACTCATATATTTTTTTCCTTGTTAATATTTTTATTAGATTTATTATTAGAATAATTTTTAATTGAATTTTTAATTTGATTTAAATCAGCAAATAGTTTATTAAAATATATCTAATATAAATAATAGTCGTAAATAAAATTAGTTCATAACAGCAGAGGTTTCGAGAAATAGAAATTCGCGTGCGTGAATGTATGCTGTACACGCTTGTATAGGTAGTATCTGGAAGGATGCGATTGTCCCACTTAGGAGTCTTTCAACGCTATGCGGATAACATTCAATCCTCTGTTGGTGAGGCCATTCACAAATTTGAAAAAGTATGCGATAATACATATACGTAATTAACAATCCATGTTGAAAAGTAATGTTTTATAATAGAAAAGATATTATTAGTAAATTAATAAATTTTGTATATTTTAATGAATGTCTATTTTTGGATAATATCTTTTGAATTTAGTCAATTCAATTTTTAACAATTATTTTTATAATTTTCATAACAAAAAATTATATCGAAGATTTTAATATTTGCATATATTCAAAATTATCTTGATGTATTTTTTTATATAGTTTAATTCGTAAAAAAAATAATTTTTAATATTAAAATAATTTATTAGCATTTAGATTATTTAAATTAATACATAATAATTTTTTATTAATTTTATTTCCATAAATTTAATGACAAAAAAATTAATAGAATAAATAAAATGTAACTTTTAAATGAAGTAGTAATAAATAATTAATTAAACAATAATATAAAAATAAAATGTATATATTTCTACATGAAAAATAATTTATTTTATATCTTCTTTTTCTGGCATAATATTCAACATATTTTTATTAATTTTTGACAATGTAAAAATTATATAGTTAAATTAATTAAAACAATTGGAATTGTAATAATTTGAATTTTTTTATGTAATTTATCATAATTTAAACTATTTAAATTCAGAACATTATATTGGATATATATATATTCTAATTTATTGGATATATTGGATGTATATTCTAATTTATACATAACATAAATAAAATAAATCTATAAAATCTACATTCGAATTTTAAATCGAATATCTATTTAAATGTACATATAATAATTTAGTTTTCGTATAACTTCGTATAACTTTTATTTAATTTAAATTTTATTACATAAATACAAATATATATTATTCAAGAATATAAATTCTATATTCCGTAGAATTTTTCACTTTTTATTTTTTAATTATATGTATATATATATATATATATATAAAACATGTATCGTTTAAAATTTCATTGTTGAAATTTTTTATTGATGTTTCTTTTCTTATTTTCCAAATATGTTTCCAATTTCAATTCTATTTAAATGATTATTTTATTCTTTTAATTGCCCATGAAATTAACTTTTCATACAATTTTCTGAAATATATAAATATAAATTTATATAAATATAAATACGATATAATTAATATATATATATATATATATATATTAATGTACATATTAATTGAATATATGTATAAGATGAGTTTATCATCAATCTAAGACAATTAAATGAGAAAAGATGTATATATATATATATATAATATCAAAAACGGTCATGGGATAAAGTCGAGTCGTTTAATTAACTACCGTTATGTTTATTTGGGCCGTTATGCCTGCTAAAGTGAAAACAGCTATGGCAGAAATTTATATTATGAACTATACGAATTTTTTCATTTTATTAAAATTATTTATTTAACTATTATAAAAATGTAATCATAAATTGGAAAATATTTATAAATTAAAATTATAAATTATATATTATTCCTTCATAACGATATATGGCTCTAATTATATGATTGTATCATATAAATATCGAAAGATTTAATACAAACTCTATTAAAAAAATGAAAAAAATCAAAGTAAACTTTTTTTTTAAATTATATATTATTATATATATGTTTATATTTTTAAACTATATTAATCAAATATTTATATATTTATATATATATCAATATAAATATATAAACATATAAATATTTATATATTATATATTGTTTTGCTGCTAGCTAGAATTTAAATATAGATAAATATGTTACATTTGAATATTTCCCGTCATTTTTATTATTTTAATCTATTGTTATTAACATATTAATTCCTGAAACGAACAAATTGTTCAACAGAAACAAAAAATTTCCATACAATTGTTAAATAATTAATGTAATGTATAATTTTGGAAATATTAATTTTTCAATATTTATTAACCAATATTTATTAGGATCCTTATTTGTTCTTTTATCTTTCGCCAATTATTAATTTTCTTTTATCTTTCGCTATTCTTAAAATTATGAATTCTTTTATATTATTTGATATATATATAAATAAAATAATATAATACGCGCAAGATAATAAGTGATTTTGATATAGATGCTCTTATAAATAGCGTTTATGTAGATATATAAAACTATAATCATCATATTAAGTGTCTTATATATTTTCGAACTAATTTCGAACTTATTATATTATATATTATATATTGTATATATATTAATATATATAATATATATATTATATATAATACAATATATAATATATAATATAATAAATTCAATTATTTAATTTTTTAATTTTTATTCCATTTAATAATATTTTTACAATTTTAATATAATTTATAATCGTAATACGCTAATAATTTAAGAAAACAGAAAATGAAAAAAACAATAGTTGCAATTTTATTATAAAAATTATTATTAAATTGGATGTTTTTAC